TGAGTTTATAGTGTAAGTTGTGGTGTAAACAAAGACTTCCTGAATTTATATACCACCATACAACACTTTTTTAGTTATCTAAAATTATTTATAGACAACAAAAAGGTAAGTGACTGAATTATGAGGAATGAATAGCTTTACTGAATAACTGACACTAGCAAAAAATTAGGAGCAAGTAAAAAACAAGAAAGCGAAGATGAAAGCACGTTTTCCGTTATGTAAATGTATATGTACCTTTGCCTTCAACAGAAACACTGACTCTCTTCGAGTAGAAGAACAACTTCGAGTAGAACTCTTTGTATGCAACTTTCGCTTAAACAAAAATTGAAAGATCTTGTATTTCAATTTTTTTCAAGATAAAATTGCAAACAAAAAATTCACTTGAAACTGCCATAAGACAATTAATTTTTTTGCTAAATCTTTTCTACCCTACCCCCTCCTTCCCTCAGCATATATGTACTATTTTCAATTGGCACCCCATAAACAACGCTACAAAAAATTTCATTATGAAAAAGCACTAGAAAGTAAGTGCAAAATAGCAAGTTGTGTTTAGCTGGAATAAATAATCAAACATACCACGTACAATGGGCTTATAAGAATGACATACAAATAAGCAAAAAAAGATTTAAACGGCAAAGACAAATTTGAGCAATTGTTATTCAGGTTCTCTCTTACACGCCTTCCAACTCCACTTATAGCACCCCCCATAGACATACTGTTTTCCATTAGCATCTTGAGAACAATGCTAAAAAATTATACCTTTTAGAGTTGTATAACACATTCACAACCATTTCAGTTGGTAGAAAAAATCCTGCACAAGAAATACTGGAAAGCTGCTAAGGTCAGTTATTACTGGACAATCCACATTTTTTAAAGTTTATATCCATCTGATAAAGATAAGGTAAATTAAAAATAAACATTTTTAATGACTACTATTACTCCAACTTAGTTTCAAAAATACTTGTTCTTGAATAAACTAAGTAACTTTAACATTAACTTCTCTAACCAAGCAAACAACTTCAAAAAACTTACATTATCTGTATTAACAGTGTCGGAAACCTTCGATTGGGTTTCTAGATCCGGATTACTGCCGCTGTTTTTTTTATGAGGTCTCCGTCTTCTACGGCGTTTTTTTTT